ATGAGTCAAATTGGTAAATATAGGAAAAAAAAATTGTATAAAGCAGCTAGCAAAATCAAACAAAACCCCACACAAACAAACAAACAAACAAACAAACAGACAAAGTAACAAATATCTAAAAATTCTCTGAAATGCAATGATCAAAAGAATTTCACCATGGTGGATGCTTAAAGAAAAATCTCTCAGGCTGAACATGACCTAACACTTTCAAAGTCTCTAAAGGTTTAAACTGTGTCCATATGAATTTTATTGCCTTTCAACACTTCTTACCAATTACAGAATGAAAAACTCAGATAAGATTTTAAGAAGGAAAATTATTTTTGCACTGATCTAAATTTCATAGCCAGGCAAAGAAAAAGAAGCATCTCACCTTTAGCATTGAGACCTTTACTGTTTGAGCACTTTCTGTACAGAAATTTGGGAAGATGATCATAAGGGTAAAATGGATGATGGTAACAGAAGAGACTGAATAAAATGAATTTTTGTGGATGGACATCACACATTGGCTCTACCCTCATTGTCTTAAACTATATTCTGTCAAGGATAGATAATTTATACTCTTTCCCACAGTTCTACATCATATATTTATAACTTATTCCTCAAGTCATTCGCCGTAAAAAAAAATTCATGACTTTTCAATCCAGTGATCACTGTTCATAAATAGTCAATACATCATCATCATCAAAAGGTAGAAGCCTTTTGGATAAAAAAGGACAGAAAGGCAGCAATGCAAGTATCAACCACATCACTGTTTTCCATGTAACATATATACTTGGTTTTTTATTACTAAGTGTAATTGAAGAGTTGCTGAAACTTCTTTTTTAAAACAAGGATAACTTATCAAACAAATCTTGTGACATGAGCATTGACATTTATCCTTTAAGACAGAAATCAAACTTCAGCAAATAAGAAAGGTTAAAGGGAAAAGCATTATAATTTAAAATGTGAAACTAGACAAGAAGAGCAATCTATACTCAAGAGCCATCAGAAGTTTTCCTAATGGATGTCAATAAATGCACAATCAAAATACTAATTACAAGAAATTTACAATATTATCATTAAACTTCAAATTATTTTTAATGCAAAGTTCAAAATTTTCAGCATTTGTTTATCATTATAGAGCCTGGCCCAACCATTTAAGAAGCTGAATTCAAAACCAAAATTCCTCCTGTTGATTAGAGTGTATTTCTCTGTCTGAAATAAAAAGCCCAATGATATCACATCACAGTAACTATACTCTCTCCAAACTCATATTTTTATGACAGAATACACAACAAAATCCAGTGAGATGTAAGACAGCATAAACAAATCTATCTTTTTTACAGACAGAAAAGTTGTTCTATTAAATCTGCCTAAACAAGAAACAAGTGTAAAGTAGCTGAGCACCCCAAAGTTCAAAACCAAAAAGACAGAAGTTTTTTTTGGGAAATATACTCTTTCTTCTTCAGTGATGAACTGTTGAACACTGCTAACAGGATTCTGGGCTGCAACCAAAGTGTGGCCAGCAGGTTGAGGGAGGGGATTCTGCCCCTCTGCCCTGCCCTGGAGTGCTGTGCTCAGCTCTGGGGACACCAGCATGACAAGAACATGGGCCTGTTGGGGCTGGTCCAGAGGAGGGACACAAAGATAATTACAGGGCTGGAGGATCTCTCCTACCAAGGCAGGCTGGAGAAGAAAAGGCTCTGGGGAGACCTTAAAGCACCTTCCAGTACCTGAAGAGAGGTGGAGAGAGACATTTCACAAGGACAAGGGGGAATGGCTTCAAAATGAAAGAGAGTCGTTTTAGATTAGATATTAGAAATTCTTTGCTGTAAGGCTGGTGAGGAACAAGCTCCTCAGAGAAGTCGTGGATGCCCTGTCCCCGGAAGTGTTCAAGGCCAAGGTTGCATTGGGCTCTGAGCACCCTGGTCTATGGAAGGCACATGGCAGGAGGGCTGGAACCAGATGATCTTGAAGGCCCCTTCCCACACAAACCATTCTGTGATTCTATGAATCCTGAGGAGACGTAAAAAAGAACAGCAGCTTCTTGCTGTTTCAGCTTCTTGCTGAAACACAATAACATGTTTGGTATTATTTATTCAGGTAATGAATACTGGAGATGTCAAAAAAAACCCAGTAGTGCAGGCATTGAAAGCCTATTGATTTTTTTTATCATAGATGAAATATCTCAGAACACCAACAGAACAGAATGAGTGTAGTTGGAAACCTTTCAATTTTATGTTTTTTCATGTAGGAACATGCTTATTGGTGTTCCTTTTACAGATTTTGGCTGCAAAAACATCTATGAATTTTAGTTCTCCCATCTAACAGAGGAAAAATATTTTGGGTGTTTCTGTGTTGTTTTTCTTTCTTTAAACATGTTATAAATATAAAAGTCTGCTTGTGTTTTTTTTTGTTTTTTTTTTCCCAAATCATTTCTAGGCTGATACATGAATTGGTAGAAAGACTGTCAAAACATATACAACTTCTTTAGCAGAGTTGTGAAAGCCTGAATGAACTGTATACTGTATCAGAAAATAATGGAGTAGGAGCTTTATTCTACAGAAATATCTTGTCATAAGAAGTAACAGAATTATTTGAAAGACATGGGACGAATGTACCATCAGCCCCAAAAAAAACCCGCAATGAACTTGTTCCCTAAAAAACCCCAAACAAACAAAAACTCAGAAATTGTATGGAGTGGAGCAAAATTTTTAAAAAATATTTGGGGCCAAAGATATTTGAAAAATACAATTTTCAGACATTAACTTTCAGCATTTAACAGCAGCAATAGTAAACAGGAGACTACCACAATGGCAAATAACTAAAGCCAGCAAAAGACGTTTTTAGCTTGGCTGAATGTAATCAACAAAATCCAAATTTTCTTTATGTGCTGTTCTTTGCAACAAACAAAATACTTAATGAACCAACAGAAATGTGACAAAGATAATAGTTTATAAGACTTTTCTTTGTGTTCAGAAATAATTTTTCTCCATTATAAAGGAGGTGAAATGCCAACACTGGAAAACCTATGCACAACTCAGTTCTTATCTCACCATTACAGGATCAGTGATGTCAACCAAACACTGCTGAACCTTCTTCTTGATGATCCATATTTCTTGCAGAAGTATATAGAAGGGCAGTATGTCTGCTAGCTCCTGTCTGCTCCTTTCATATAAAAGCCAGCAGCAATAATCCCCAGTACCCTTTAAGAACAAGCAGGGAATTTATCATATCTGGTTGTAATGCCCTTTGGGACTCTTCAGGAAGAAAGGCACTGTAAATGTAAGCTCATTATCATCATTAACTCCTTTTATACACCAGCTGAGCTCAGAAGGAACAAATGGGAGAAAAATGTAAGGGAAAAAAGGTTAAATACATTTGCCATTCTTTTCTTTTCCTGATAGGTTTTAACACTTCCTAGTTAGTTTTTAACATTCATTAGATTAAACTTATTATTTATTAGGAATTCTTAAAATTACTTTGGTATTTTTTTTTTCCAGGAGATTATATTTACATTACTAAGGAAAAAGAAGAAAATGGCTTGACTTGTATTTAGGGATAACACAGCAGTGCCTAACTTATTACACGCTCCTGTAAGCTTAGAACACCTTACGCTTTCCACAGTTACACCTTGCCTACATGTGTGAGAATGGTCTGAGAAAAGGAAAAACTCTCTGTTTGTCTTGTGTTTTCTAGGTGATTGTCACGGGCATTTTTCAAAGGAAAAATAGCACAACATCTTCTCAAACCGCTTTATGGGAAAAACATTAAACTTTTAAACTAGTTGGCCATACTTTACACAAAAGCTCTACAAAATGGCAACTTGCAGGGGCTACGGAGAATCCTTAAGGGTACTTATAGAGTTACTGCATCCAAATTCGGCAAGCTGTCACCTGAATGAAATAAAAATCAGAGAAACAAGAAGAAAGAACTATGAAGTTTATCTGACTGTACAAATGCAAGAAATAAAACCATACACAAACGTCCATAGCAGGAAAGGAATTTGCGGAGACCCTTCTGATGCTATTCCACTGGGGGATGATGTGTGAACACCATCTCCTTCGCTCAGCTGCTTCGCTTTGCGCTCTCCCGGGGGAACTCGCTCCCCTTTCTCCCCGTCCGTGGCCTCTGCCCCTACAGCAAGGTGCCCTGGCTGGTCCTGTGCCGTCCCGGTGCCGACAGCTTCCCACGCCGCCTCCAGCCACCCTCCGCCCGCGGTTCGCGCCGGGGCGAGACCCCCGGTACCAGAGCGGGGCGCTTCGCTCGGTCCCGCTGCCACCTGCGGCCCAAGGAGGGCAGCCACACGCTGAGACCGGGGCGCGCCGGTGAGCTGCGGAGAGCCGGCCGTGGGGATGTATCCCCGCCAGGAGAGCTCGGGGGCCGGCGGGAAGCGCCGTACCCGGCCCGGCCCGGCCCCTCACCCGCCCCTCGGCCCGGCCCCTCACCCGCCCCTCGGCCCTGCCGCNCGCGGCGCTCGCCCGCCTCTCCGGCGCGCCCCGAGAGCCGCGGCGGAGCCGGTCCGAGCCAGGCGAGCCGCACAGGGCTGAGCGGGGCCGGAGCCGCGGGGAGCCGGCAGCAGGAGCACAGCCCGCCGGACACCGGCCCCTGCCTGCGCGGGGGGCCGTGGCTGCCGCCCCGCTTCACCTGGTGCCCGCACGACTCGGGAGGCAAGAGCAGCCCCGAGGGGTCCGTCCCGGGGCTTGCCCGCCCGGCGCCGGCAGCATCTTGGCACCTTGGCCGTGCTAGCCGTCCCCTGCCCGCGTGCGAGTGCTTGGGGGTGCAACGATCGACCCCGGCTAGAGTTTTGCAAAGCTCTGAAACACCTTAAGCTGCGCGCAACAACCTGTGTTCTCCGAGGTGCTGGAGACGAGGAGTTAGTGTTCGCCACCGCCCGGCGAGGGGAGGTGTCTTCCTAGAGGGACCTTTCCTGACCCGTAGAGCCACTGGGTGCCCGCGGCAGCAAGAGGACGCAAATGGGCAGCACGAGAGCGGTGCGGCTGCTGGCGGGGAGGCAGCGGTCCCGGGAAAGGGCGGAGCGCCGTGGGGGGGTTCTCCCGGCGCTGCACTTGCTACATTAACTCGGCGCGTCGGAGACGGCGACACAACTTTCCGGGTCTGCCCCGGGCGTCGGCGACAAGAGGCTCCTCGCCGCTCCGCTCGTCGCGCCCCCAGCGCCGGCCGCTGCCCGCGGCGGACCCCGGCGGCAGCGGGAGCCGCGCTCCGGCGGCAGCGGCGTCGTGGCCGCTCCTGACCCGGCCCCGGCCGGGAAGGCTATCCCCGGGAGCCGGGTGGGCATGTCTCCCGTTCCCAGCCCCGCCGAGCGAGGCGGCCGCCGGGTCTGAAGGAGAGCGGGTGAGCCCCGCCGCCTCCCGGCCATGCGGCCCCTCCGCGCTCCGCTCGCCCTGCTCTGCCAGGTGCTGGGTGCGTGGGCTGCCTGCGCCCTGGCCCCGGACCCCGTCGCAGCCTCTGGGCCGCCGGCGCCTCCGCAGCGCTCCCGCTCGCCGCCGGCCCCGCCGAGAGAATCCATGGGAAAGGGGCAGCGCCGGGGGCCGCGGCAACGCCACGGGGCGCCGCGCCCGGCTCCGCAACCCCTTCTACCCTCTGACCGAGGAGTCTTACGGCGCCTACGCCGTCATGTGCCTCTCCGTGGTGATCTTCGGCATCGGCATCATGGGCAACATGGCAGTGATGTGCATCGTCTGCCACAACTACTACATGCGGAGCATCTCCAACTCCCTGCTGGCCAACCTGGCCTTCTGGGACTTCCTCATCGTCTTCTTCTGTCTGCCGCTGGTTATCTTCCAGGAGCTCACCAAGAAGTGGCTTCTAGAAGACTTCTCGTGCAAAATCGTCCCGTACATTGAGGTAATGTACGTGGGTGGGGATACGCGGACCCCGATCTCCTCTCCCCGCCGCTTCCCCGCCGCAAGCCTGAGCCGTGTGCGGAGCCGGCGCTGCTCGCTGTCATTGCTGCCGGCCCGGGGGCGTCCCGGTGCTATTTGGTTCGGGTTTCCTGGGTGCTCTTGCGACGGAGCCCGGCCCCGTCCCGGCCCCGCAGGGAGCGGAGTCGGCAGTGATCGCACCGGGTCCAGCGGCACCTGGATTTCTGTGGCTCCCGCTGAGTGCGTCCGGCGCTTCCTGCCACTCGCACGACTTCTGCCAAACTTTCCTTGTTCCCGTGGCCCTGAAAAACAAGTGATCCTCTCAGAATTAGATTTCAAGTTTTTTGCTTTATTTATTTCAGTGAAGATGGATCTGGAAAGCGGCTTGAGGGGATAGCTTGTAAGGAGGTGATTGTAAAAATGGGATTATCCCATTAATGGAGTGTCTGGGCTCTTAACTTATATTTCAGCGTTCAAATCTCACGTTTATTTAGCTGCTGGTTTGTTGGTTTTTTTGTTGTTTTGTTTTTGGGGTTTTGTTGTTGTTGTTGTTGTTTGGGTTTTTTTGGTTCTTTTTTTTTTTTTGTTTGTCCAGCTCCGTTTAAACTGCAGCTTCTTGGCAGTTGTTCAGCGGCTCTGTCAAAGAAGCTCTCAGACAGCTGGCCACAGTCCTGCCGGCAGTGCTCAGGTTGTCCGCTTTATTTATTTACTGGAACTGAACACTGAGACTTGCTGCTGCGGTGGTAGCCTGGAGTTCTGGCTGGCTCTCCTGTATTCCCAAAACCTTATGTCCAACATTATTCTGTAACTGAGAGCTGAGGAAACAACTGGTGGTTCTCTTGTCCTAAGAACGAGCTATTAGAAAAAAGCCCCCAAACAAACAAAAAGCAACCCCCTATCCCCCTCCCAAAAAACCTTCGAATACCCAACTTTTTATTAATACAGAGTGTCAGTTTCAGCAGCACATTAGTACACAGCAAAACAGAATTAACTGTCAAATGATACTATGATATTTTAAAGTGTTAAGAAAGATGTGTGACCTGTGTAGCCATAAAATTGCCACTGCTTCTTTCATCTGTTCAGTTTATTATTGGTGGTATTGGACAAAGGGTGGAGCTGTGATATGCTTAGTTGAATTCTAGGCCAGTACTATACTACCTGCATTTAAAAAACTCAGAGTGCACTTAAGTGATTTGCATTTTAGAAGACATGATGCAGTAAATATGTATTTATTGAGAAACTGATAGTTCTTGAATCCTTTAAAATTCCTGAAATGGATTTTGGGGCTGCTGTGTTAACCAGTAAGATAAGTAGCAGTGTTTTAAAAGGAACCATTTCATTTAAAATAGGGTCGTTTGTGTTTCAAGGACGTTCATGTGACATTTCATGCTTTCTAACCCTTTTTTGGTGCATCTACATGCAAAGTTGAAATAGATGAGTAGTTTAAATGATTTGTGTGGCCACACTGTTCCTCAAAATTAGTTACTTATGCTTTGCGTAAGCAAAATAATACTGCACTTTGGACACTAAAGAGTTTTTCAAACTGAAAGTAGTTTAGCTGAAATGTAGTTGTTGAATTTCAAAACTGTAATCCCAAAAAATATTCAGCTGCTGCTTTACGCCATTATAATTTATTGTTACCTTATTTTTTCACTTTAAAGTTCTGTGGATGTCTAGAGTTGGTCTTATTCAAGAACTGGCACCAGTCCAGTCAAGATGAACTGGTGACTGTATTAGGCTTAATTATCACTCGTGTCTAAAAGTAAAGCATTTTCCTTGTCCTTGAGGAAGTATAATTAACTTAGTTCTAAAGTTAAGCTCTTAAGAATGTAAGGTCTTAGTTACAAATATAAAGAGGTCTAGCCTTAGGGTTCTGTGTTGCCCCCAGAATTGTGTATTTTTTTTTCAGTGTCATTAAATATAATACTCATGTATATAAAGTATCTCATCACCTTGAGAGGAGTAAGTAAAAGGCTGGATTTCCCTCTCTGTAAACTGTGGCTATAAGAGGCAGATACTGAACACTAGTGGATCATGACTCTCCACAGTTCACCTGGAGTCTGGAATGAAGGACACTGTCCTGTAAATCAGGATTTGACCCTGCTGAGGCAGAGAAGTCACCTAGAGCAAAGGTTCACCGCTTTCCAAGTGTTGATCTAACCTCACAGGCATTACACAGTGACACTGACACCACCAGGAGCAATGCAGATGTGTAGCATGTCATGAAATCCATCCCAAGTGCAGCTGCTGCTCCTTGCTCTGTCAAGGATTGTTTACAGCAGCACATTCATCTGACAGCTGAACAACACTCTCTTTTCCTTTGTAACTCATCTGGGCTGGCCCATCTTCTTCTCACACAGAGGGAAAGAGTGAGCTCTTCTTAGCTCCTTGAGAGGAAAGCTTTGACAGCTATCTTCAGGAGAAGTTTCCAGACCTTTGTGGAATACAAATAGAATCAATAGAATCATCTTCCTGAAGATGGACATGTTTTAACCTCTTGTTTGTGTTTTCCATAAGTTTGCACAGTGTTTAGTTCTTGTAAGGGTCTCTTGGTTCCATCTTTTCATCTCTTTATTTTTGGGGTTTTTTTTTGCACACACTTTTTAGAGAGAGAGCTAAATGTCTCACCTGGGTTTGTAGATCCAGAAATATCTCAAGCATCAAAACCCCTTATTGGCCTGAGCCTTCTGTCATGTCAGCTTTTACTCTCAGAACTAGAGAACAGGGGATATTTAGGGAAAACTGACAAATCTACAAGAGCCCCCCCCAGTATGTTGCAATAACATGTTCAAAACCTGTGAAGTTTAATGTGGATGTGGAACAGCCATCAGAAAATGATAAACTATAATGGTTTGAGGAACAAAAGGTCATTTATATGATATAACAGGAATGGATATCCAGAGTCTACGGGGTGTCACTGATAGCTCAGAGGTGACTTGGATAATAGTCACCAACCTCTTCTGTAGTTCAGCTTTCCCATTGCAATGGGAAATGTTTTGTATACCCATCTCGTCTTGTAACAAAGGATTTGTGCCATGTAGTTTTAAGAAATTCTTTGCTATCAACACAAAATATATTCTGTCTTAGAAACTTCAGCTTCAGCTGGTAGAAGGGTCCACTTCTTATAACACCTTTATTTTAATTTGTTCAACATAAACTTAGTCTACATTGTTTCCACTCACTACTCCACCAGAATGGTCACTGTCATTTCTAGCCTGGAATTGCTCAGAGCTGGTTGATTTCCATTCTGTTACATTCACTGTCTTTTGGCTTAAGTAACATTTGTATCTCCTAACACATTTTTTTTGGTAGATAGCAGCAATATCACTTCTTGATCTTTGTCTTAGTGGGTGGAATGACCCAGCCTCTCTTTTATATTCACTAACAGAATTTGGCCTGTGTTGGTCTTTTCATCCAAGTCACCTTTTCTGATTTTATTTCTGGTTTTCATTACTTTTGACTAGAAATTAGTGGGACAAAATTGAGTCTTTTTTCCACAGCCATAACTCATGGTAATACATCTACACTGCTCTGCTGGTCAGCCACAGTCTCTGCTCCTGCAAGCCAGGGCCAAGAGCTGTGGGACCACAGCCAGGAGAAGAAGTAGGGCAGGCCAGGAAAGGCCTGGGAACATTTTGGTAATTGTTAAAAGTTTGTGAAAGGGGAACCAGTATGTTGGAAGAGTGGACAGGAGAACCGCAATTATGCTGAGCATTTCATGAGTTTGCGATTGTCCTCTGTGGCCTCAATTCCCCAAATCAGTTTTGACACTGTTGACTAACAGCTGCTGAGCTAATGACCAAAGGTTTATGCAGTATCTTGAAGGGACATCACAGTGCCCACTAGCTCGGTCAAGGCTTTTTAAAGAGCAACAGTGTTTAAAGAGATTCTTTTGTAACAATAATGTCTTCCTCTGTGTGCATGCTGTAGCTAGCAATCCCTTCAGCAGCAGTTCTCTGCCCAAATGGTGTGGGTATCTCTCAAAGCAGGGGTTCCTTCACCACTTCCTCAGAGCAGATTGATGGTCATTCAGCTGGAAATTTGGGGACTTTTCTGATTTCATGCGGTAAGAGAAAGTTGTAAAATTATGTCATCCTGAATGTCTAGAGACTGCAGGAGCATCTTCAGTGGACAACAGGGAAATAAGCCAAACAACTAAGTGAGCTAGTTGAGCTCACAACTACTGAGCCTGAGTTGCCCTTGCCTTGCCTCATTTCCTGCCAGGTTGGTGGAGTTAAGATTGGAACAGCATATCAGACACTCAGCTGTTACCAGGAGAGCACCATTAAACTCCATGTGGCCTTGCACCACTTTACGATTTGTTAATTTGTGCTTTACTTCTCCCTGTCAAATTAATGATCTTAATTCTGTAGTTATTTCAAGGCAATATAATACCTGAAAAGAAAACTTCTCTGAATTTTTTCACACTTTCAGCTTAACTCTAATTATTAGTATGACTGGTATGAAGAAACACACCTAGACTGAAATTGTGTGAACGTGCAGAATGCATGTCCCAGTTCTCACCCATAGGTTTTGAGCAGCACCCATTGATTTTGCTGGCTATTACTCATAGTCTGCTCTGTGGAGTAAGTAATCCAACCCTTGAATTGCTCTACTGCATTTAAGCAAGTCAGCTGGAGTGAATCCATGATCATCTGCTTGAGTGTTTTTGTTTGGTTTTCGCAAGCTTTTCCATGGCATCACTAACTCTGCTAATCTACAGAAAATAGGAAACTGTTGCTTGTTCCAGGGAAACACTGGCTTTGGTTAGCTTGTTTCATCAGTAAATCCACGGGAGGGTTTTCAAAGCCGCCTTCCAGTATTCCTAGTTGTTTCCTCTTGCTCTATTTCCCTGTTTTAAGCCTGCAAGTTGCTGGTCAGTTAATGTGACAGGAACCCCGTAGGTTATGTTTCTTCATGGCAGACGTGTCTTCTTTCATTAGCCCAGCCCTAACAGCTGCAGAGTTTAATGTCTCGGCCGCTGTGTAACAACTGTTACACAAAAGTCTGTTTGCAAGGAAATGCTGAAGCCATGCAAGTGTCTGCCTTGGGCTGGTGGGAGGCTCACGCCAGAGCTGAAAGGAAACATCTTAATGTACAGAGACTCAGGTTTTCTTCTGTTTTGCTGATTTCTATTTCAATCCCTGTTCATTTCCAGATCTCAGTTATTTCCCTGTCTCTTATAGTTGTAGCAAGCTGAGTCCTGACCCTTTTGTTATTCATGTTGCGTGTTAAGGCTAAAGGTTTTGCTGTCACTAAGAGATTTGAAGACTGCACACACATTTAAATATTTTGGAAACAAAGTTGCTAATCTTGAATTTAAAAATCTGACTCCGAGCTGTGATACAGGAAAATCATATTTCATGATTAGGAAAATCATATTTCATTAAATCATTTCATGATTTCATTAGATTATGAAATCATATTTCATTTTCAAGAAATTTCATGTTTCATATTTTCATTAGTTTATCACTGTTCATTAAGATCTCCCTGTAACTATTTTTCTTTAAATGTTTTTATTTTTTTTTTTTCAGTATTTACCAAGCTTTCTTTGAATCTTGTCAGACTATTAAACTTCCAAATCTATGGTTGCCTATTAAAAATGTTTATTGTAGTTCCTTGTCATTATTAAATATTTCTGCAAGTTAATTAGTAAGAGATTGCATCTTACTTATTCCATCTTTTAGGAAGCTGCTTCAAAGAATTCTCCAACCAAGCCAACATCTTGCAGTTGTTATTCCAAGTCCCTTATATTTTTCAGTGATTGTCAATTTTAGCCATCAGATATGACCATTAAATATTGAAGGCCAAAATTAATGATACATTTATGTAATTGTGCATATTTGTGCTATCTATCTTTGAAGAACTTTTTTCAGAGATGCATAAATAGTATTATTTCAATATTATGGTGGAAATCAGAAAGTGTTTCTTAAACACTTTCTATATGAAATTTCTATTCTATATGAAATTTAAATGTAGCATTGCACATCAAATTTTGATCGGCAAAATTATAGTAAACTGCCTAATATTACTTTAGATTTACCAGTTAATTGCCAAAATATGGTTCATTCATTATAAAAGTAAGCGTTCTTTACATTTATTAGCAATATTATTTTACTTTTTTTTCTTTCACACCACATCAACACACTTTCAGCATAACACGTGTATACAAACCCAAGAAAACAAAAATTAAATTTCAACAGGGCACTTAGTCTTTCTCCAATTGAAGTTAATGGGAGTTCTGCTTTAAATTTGAACTGAAGTTGAATTTATTGCTAATAGAATTAGGCCAAAATGTATATAGTCTTCTTGCAAATTTATTTTAGGAAATTAAATTATAAACAGGATAAAATGATCGGAAATGATGTTTCATGACAGCACAAGATTTCTGTTCATGCATAGAATAATGATTATTAAACCCAGAGAACATAAGCATTGCTCTGTACTTGTTCCTCACAGTATATAATTGACAGCTCTCTCCAATCCATCTTTTAATCATTTAAAGAATGAAACTTCTTCCGTTTCTCTTGGCCTACAGTACACTCTCCCACAGAATGTTTCCTATGAAATTAAGCCTAGGTTTTCCTTGATTTTTTTCTAAATGAAATATTGACTATTGGTTATATAGAACCTAATCACTATAGTGAAGATTAGTTTTGCACAGGCTCTGGAAGTCTGAGGATTTCAAATACAGTTGCTTTGAACTTGTGGGGGATGACTTTATGTGCCTACATCCCATCAAAATTTTGCTTAAAAGCCCAAGTCCACAAAAATAGTTGCTGGATCCTACTCAATTCAGTAGATGCCTCATCCCCAAGGTTTCTAAGTTTTGTAGATATGGAAGGTTTAATGTTTTGATCCCCTGCCTGCATGATGAACTTGTTATGTGGTCATAACTTCTGCTGAAGGAAGACTCTCCTATCTCTCCCATTTTGACTTAAAATTCCAACCCCTGTGGTGGAACCAATCTTTCTGAAAAACACCCCTTAGAAAAAAGTGCTGGAGGAAACAGTTTAGTTTTAAATATTAGTCAATTCTTCTATTTTTTTTTGTTTCCATTCAGCATTGCACAGATGCTTGCTTGGACCTCCAGGAGAGGTTGACACCCAGCTGGAATAAGAATTTGTAGGCGAAAAAATAGAAGTATGTACTCTTTTTGGAGTGCGTGCTGGATGGTAGCTCAGCAAACACTGGAAGCTAAGTGCTGTCTGTGATGCTTCTTTTGATGCTGCTCAGCAGCACGGTACTCAACTGCTTCTCTTCCTTCCATCCCCCCTTTTTTTTCTCATTTTCTTTTCCCTTTTCTCCCCCACATTTTTTTAACCTCCCCTAGACAGCACCTGTATTAACCTGTGCCGCCTTTCCTCCTTCCCAGGTGGCCTCTCTGGGAGTCACCACCTTCACGCTGTGCGCGCTCTGCATTGACCGCTTCCGTGCCGCCACCAACGTGCAGATGTACTACGAGATGATCGAGAACTGCACCTCCACCACGGCCAAGCTGGCCGTCATCTGGGTGGGCGCGCTGCTGCTGGCCCTGCCCGAGGTGGTGCTGCGCCAGCTGGCCAGGGACGAGCCCGAGTACAGCGGCAGCCCCCCGGGCGAGCGCTGCGTGGTGAAGATCTCCACGGCCCTGCCCGACACCATCTACGTGCTGGCCCTCACCTACGATGGCGCGCGGCTCTGGTGGTACTTTGGCTGCTATTTCTGTTTGCCGACCCTCTTCACGATTACCTGCTCCCTGGTGACGGCGAGGAAAATCAGGAGGGCAGAAAAAGCCTGCACGAGGGGGAACAAGCGACAAATTCAGCTGGAAAGTCAGATGAACTGCACAGTGGTGGCTTTGACCATTTTATATGGATTTTGCATAATTCCTGAAAACATTTGCAACATTGTGACTGCCTACATGTCCACAGGGGTCTCTCGACAGACTATGGACCTCCTCCATCTCATTAGTCAGTTCCTTTTGTTCTTTAAGTCCTGTGTTACCCCAGTTCTCCTGTTCTGTCTCTGTAAACCTTTCAGCCGGGCCTTTATGGAGTGTTGCTGTTGCTGCTGTGATGAATGCATCCAGAAGTCTTCCACGGTGACGAGTGATGACAATGACAACGAGTACACCACAGAACTGGAGCTCTCCCCATTCAGTACCATTCGTCGCGAAATGTCGACTTTTGCTTCCGTGGGGACTCACTGTTAATTGACCTTAGGACTTTATTTCCTGCATATTTTTCCTTTTTCTTTTTTTTACTTCATATTTTTCTTCTTGAAGCAAAATGCAGGGAAAAAAAATCACTGTTAAAAATTACTCTTGAAAACCAATCTGTATTAACAGTCATGCTTTGGAAAATAATTTCTTTGGTTATTAAAAGGAGAGAAAGAGAAAGAGAAGGAGAGCCAGCACTCAGTTTTACATCATGAGATTTTGTGTGGTGCTAGGATTTCATTGGTTGAGGAGAAGGATCCATATCAATCCGCTTTTATTTAATTCTGTAGTATTTTTTTTGATAATCACTGTAAAATGTTTATATAGGCATTGTGGGCTTTGCAAGGTGTTTTCATGTAAAAGATGTGGTGGAAAGTATTTGAAGGTAGTTTTAATCCAATTACTGTACACTATTTTGAGAGGACTTGGGCTTCAGAGAATTTATAAAGTAGCATAAAAATAAATGAGGTTTTATTCTTTAACTTGATTGTCAATCTACGTTTAACAAACACACCTATGAGTAGTATTAAATTTCTTTAATTAAAAAAAAACCTTTGCATATCATAATTTAGGTGGCCATATTTAATTAACATTTGAGAACTTACACTTGGAGGATATAATTAGAGTGTTTAAGGAAGATGGTTATAATGGTATTAGACTTATAGGACTGGGCTTTTTAAATGTTATATTATGAAGGTTTGATGTGCCTCATTGAAAATTTTCTTCTTAACCTGCAGGTATACAAAATCTTCAGTTATTTTATACTTCTTACAAAGAAACACTCACTTCATCACTGAATTTTGTCTTGTGTGATTTCAAAGTCAAGACTCTTTCCAGTATGCTATTGGTTTTACATTGAGTTTATGTCCTCCATCTCTGTATATATATAGCTCCTACTGGCTTCAGTGAGAATCTCATTGCAGAGAAAGGCACTTTTTTGCCAGAGGTTTGCTGACAATAAATGTAAGGGACTGAAACAAGTGAAGAGTGAATTCCTTCTATTTTAAAAGGTATAAACACACTTGGACACTTGGGGCTTGACCTAGAGCCCATGGCAGTCAATGGAGAGGTTTCCATCAATTTCAGAGAGCTTTGAATCAGACTGGCATCTCCTATTTGTTCTGGGATGTGTCCCATGAATATTAATCACAGGTCTCTGTGTGCTGGTTCAGAACCATGCTGCTCTCACAGAGACTGCTATTCACTAGCAGCTCACAGCCCTGAGGCTGGTTTTGAGAGCCACTGTGTGTTTTGCTGATGGCTTCTTGCTGTCCACAGAGTTGTTAAAATGAGGGTATGTCAACACTGCCAGCAACAGTGTGATATAGTAAAATCCAAAGTTGTTATAAGCAAGCCAAGCTGGAGACTGCAAAGTGCCTATCCTTACCAGCAGAGCTTATATCCCCACTCTTGGCTGAAGGAGACATTCTGTTCTTGGCAGGCAAGCCGGCTCATATTTACACTGGGCAGCAGGCTGAAGTGTAGACACAGGCTGAGGAACTGAATTTTTTATAGATAACTTGTATTTTAATACTAATTAAATAAATAATGCAGCTGCATTGAGCATAAGGAAAATTTCATGCATTCATGCTTTGAAATTAACAGTGAATATAACTGATGCAGTCCTACCTCCCTCTTGATACCTGCCTATATATGTTAAAGGGCTTGCTGTAACTTCTGGAGAGGACTCTATTTTTTGTTTGTAGATTCCAGACTTAATGTGTCTAATCTGGGTGATATTCTTGGGCAAGCAGTATTTCTTCTTTTTCTTTACCATTTTAACCTATAATAATTTCAACTGAAAAAAACCCAAACAGTTGAAATTAATTAATATGAATATGAATCTAAACATATATGCACATGAGTTCTTCTTCTGACTTTTGAATCACATACTGGGCCCTAGCAAGGCAGTCTGCTTTAACCACTGGCATTTGTTTCTGCGTAGAACTTGAGAAATTACCCAAGTTTTTAAAGTCCTGTTTAACATGCTCAATCACTTCTGAAGATGGCAACTGTCCCTTCCTTATAAAACCTTTCATTGACTTGGCTTTGCTTGATCGTATTCAATAAAGTATGAATGGGATTAAAGAGAAAAGATGGAAGCAAAATCTTCCTCACTTTGCTGCCTGTGTTTCCTCAAATACATATTACCATCTCTGCATTTTGATTTTTACTTTTCATTTTTACATGCCAATATTTATAAAGAATGGGAATAAGACTCCTGTTTTTTTTGGTTTTTTTTTTGCTGAGAGAACTATTTCCCTCAGATGCCTTTTCTGTTACAACAGGGGCTCAAGGATCTTGGAAAAGAACAGCAGAATGGGAGGAAGCACTTTAAAAGAAACAAATGAAAAAAACAGAGAATTTACTTGGAAATATTAAATGATCACATTTTGCTATTTTAGGTTGAAGATTGCACCAGGACACGAAATGTCCCCATTGCTTTGGATATAAGGTGCTTCCATCTTTCCACTGGGCACTGGGCATATGTGAGCTCTGCTAAGGACTGTCTCTAGCTCACAGGTTACATGTTCTGTGTCCCAGAGAGGTGCATTTGCTTCTGCATTTAAACATTTCTACAATACGTGTATGATCCTGGAAAAGTCTCCAACCAACCAACCAACCAACCAACCAAGCCAGCCAAACAAAAAACCAACAAAACCAGACCAAACCAACAAAAACTCCAACAGCAACAACAAACCCATACCCAGCAAAAGAACCGACCCCCACAGGAAATGATGTAAGAAGTCATTGGAGAAGACAGGATCTGAAGATCAGTAATGCTGCTTGTAAATACATTTTCCTCCCGGTGTGGCAGAGCATTCTCCAGCCAATGGGGCTTCTTTGTATCCTGTGTAACCTTGCCTTTTCTGCTGCTGAAAGAGCATTTTTCACAGCTATTTCTTTGCCTTGCCATGGATAACTGTAGCAATTTGACACCCTTTTATTCTAATTTGTTCTCTAAATTGGTTAAACTAATACCTCATTAGCAATTTGTATTGTTGCAGTCATTCAAGTGTCATGATAAATGATTCCTTATGTTAAAGATGCAGTACTGCATTGCATTTCTTCCATCCGACTTTTGGGACTGATGCTCTGAACTCTTGAAATTTTCTTGTGTTTGCTTTACTTACTTTCTTTAATATTCTTCAATATTAAATAATAATTCTTTATTATTCTAATAATTAATAAGCTGCTTCTGTCTGGTTTGAATCCAGTTCTGTCAGACATTTGTCCATTAACAAGAGGGAATTTGATGACTGAAGATTTGCTTATTGCAAAGAATTAATTTTTTACCTAAACTAGAGAAAATTGCAGAGCATGGTGATCAACACAGAAGAGTGATGAAATGGAAAATCAGATTGTAAACCTTATACCTTTCAGGTATGTAAGCCTTTAATACATTAGCACTAATTGTCAAAGCCCTGATTCCATTGAGAAATTCAAAACCATGAAACTCTAGTAAGTATTTCAGTAGCTCCTCTGAAAATATTTCATGACCTGTATCAAAATGTAATTGTGTGGGCTAAAGTACAAATGGTAAATTATTGATTAATATCTCTTAGAAGAGATCTCTTATTTTACCACTTCCAAGATAAATTCCTACATTCAAACTTAAATAAATTCTGTGTTTAAACGATGTCAGTGACTTGCTCAGCTCCTGTTCTGTCATTGAGACCGTGATGTAAGCTTCCACAGCTGCTGCTCCAGCAGCTCTGGCAACAGCTCCTGAAGACACTACAGAGGTTTCCCATGTTGTCCTGCATCTCTTTGTAAGAATTTGTGCGATGTTAGGCTCCATGGTGAGACTGTTCTATTGTGCTCATGGCACTCAGAAGCAAACTAGATTCTATGAAATGTGAATTGCTATTGAAATTCTGAGTAGCTTACCCAAATTCATTAAACAACAAGAGTATTCAAAACCTCTCCTAGTATCTGTGAGCCATTGTCTTAGACACAGTGTAAATACATGCAGCTTGCCCTGTGGGTGCCTGACCGCTGTTGATGTGCTCAGACACAGCGCTGAGCTGCTTCTGGGCTTTTTTGCCAGGTGGCATTAACAGAGCTCCCAAACCACTTAAATCATCCCCTTGTTATTGTGCTGGAACTAAGACTGAAGGCAAAACCTGCTCAAAATTAGTCTGTCTCCTTAGCAGGGCTCTGTCTTTTCTATGCATGGAGAGCACGTCTAAGGTTACAGGCTGTCAGTGGATACAGGCTTAGCACAGTAGCATCAGCATGTATATTTTGTGCATGTTCTGATGAATCAAAAATTTAGGTTCTCTTACTTCAAGGATGAAAGAGCAAGATTCAAAACCCTGCTCTGCTTAATTTATAGGTGAGACTTGAAATTTGGTGTTTCAACAGACCCACAGAAAGGCATAACTGCTGTAGTAATAGACACACTGGTGTTATTACAGAGGGGAGAACCTATAAGAAGTAAACTGCCTGCAGAAAGCTGACTCATCTTACTTCTTTAAGAACCTAGACCTAATGATTTGCCCAAATTGCAAAGGCAAACAGGGACCTTGAATTGGATCTGCTATGTCCTGACTTATGTCAGGATGAATGACATGCTGAAACAATCCTTATTTCTTCGTATCACTGAGAAATGTGATTAGGAGGAGTTATAACTTTCTTCCTTCTTTATTTTTCTAAGAAAACTCAACAAAAGTCAATGTGAGCAGATTATATGAATCATTAAAACTTAATGGTATCTATATGTACTGTCTCAGTCTTCAGGAGCTGTATTTTTTCACTACTGTTTTGTATTTGATTGAGTCATTTAACACCTGTCCTTGGTAGATGTCAAATTTTCGAAAGCTGAGTATGTTTTGTAATGAATAAGAAACTATGAAAAAGTCACAGACTGAGATACTCCAGGGCACCCAGGCATCTCTGCCACAGAAACACTGACTCATATTGAGAGCTAAAGGTTCAGCAGTCAGGAGAGCTGTGTTTAATCATGCATTGCATTTAACCCCTAAAATCTTGGCTGTTTGCTTTCCCTGTGGTATAATTTGGCTGGTTCAGTTTTTGTGTTTCAGGCAGTAAAAGCTGTGACAAAAACTCCCTGGCATTTTTAAAATGACAACACAAAAGCCAGTGCTCTCTTTCTAGTGGTGACACATTCCCTATGTAGTGTTACCTGCCAGGATCCATATGCCTGGATGTCCCAGCCTCTTTCAAGGAACAGGTCAAAGATTTCTGTCCTTGTACATA